GCTCTGCCCTCTGACAGCCTCCCTCCCTGCCCTCAAACCCGTCCCCACCCTGTGGGGGACATGCAGGACAAGCTGAGCTGCACTCAGAGTCCCTCCCACTGTGGAGAGGGACTGTTCACAGGAACACAGCTTGCCCGCCATAGGGTGACTTCCTCTCGCCTGGGAAGGTAGGCCAGTGAGCAGAGCACAGGCCGGGCCTGCCCTGCAGCGCTGAGTGTCATCTGCAGCTCCTCCCTTTGAGCATCTTGACGATTGTGCACAGTGTGCATTTTTACACAATTGTCCTTGCAATGATAACTTGGTATCTTAGAGTCTGTTGCCTTTGTTATTTTTTTAAAGCAAGAAAGAGCAAAGCAATGGGAATACAGGACTGAGAAACCTGCCAGGTGGGCAGGCGGGCAGGGGAGGCCACTGCTGCATCTGCACTGGGCCAGAACTGGGAGGATGGGCTGTGGGCAGAAGCCAAGCACATCAAACACACACTCTCCAAATCACAGGACTAGATGTGGAGGTGCTCCTGGTCACAGGGGGAGCAGGGAGCCGGACTGAGGGTGAAGCATGCGGTCTGCGCTGTCCCCTGAAGCGAGCCGTGACAGTGCAAGCAGAAAGACAAAGCCTGGAGACAGAGTGTGGTCAGGGTTAGGGGCAGCACGGGCAATATTGATGGAGACAGTGTGGGTGAGCAAGCGAGGATGAGCACAGACAGGACATGACACAGACGGCGACATGGCAGGTGAGGATGGATGTTGCATGAGGGGCTTGGTACAAGGCACCCTTGGGCTCCCCCGGAGGCCGGGTGGGCCTACACCCTACAACCTGGGACTCAAGGCAGCCTCTGTCTATGCTGTAAATAGGGCCAGATGGGCATCCAACCATGGACACCAGCCCCTGGGGGGCCCCACTCTTCTGACCCCGACTTGGTCCCTCCCTCTCACCTCATGGGAAACGCCAACATATCCCTCAGATCCTGGCTAAGCTTTGCCTCAGGAAGGCCTCCCACCACACCAAGAGGCTAGGCCAGGTCTCTTTGGGACACTTTCAGTTGCACCCCAACCTCCAGCTATGTAATTCACTGATTCACACCTGTCTCCCCTTCTAAGACCAGGACTGTCCTGTGTACCTGGCACAGTGCTGATAGAATGCCTGGGTGAGTATGGCCACAGGTGAGCCAGAGAAGGCTCAGCCTCAGGCCTCTGAGACCTTTTCTGGCTCTGGCATTCGGAGGTGGCATGGAGCCTGCCAGACAGACAGCAAAGGTCTTGGCCAGTCCAACAGACACACTATGGATACATCCCAAAGGCCGGATGAGCCAGGTCAAGTTATGGATCAAGGTGTCTGTAATGGTCCTATCACCAGTGAGCCTCCAACAAAGGGGGACACACACACAGACCAGTCTCCGTCAGGTCAGCGGGCATGGGGACAAGCCTCATGGTAGCCTCACCCTGGTCTGGGCTGGAAGGAGACTGAGACTCCAGCTCTCCCTTGGCTCTGCCCTAACTGGCCACATGGCCCTGGATGAGCACCTACCTGCCCTCGGCTGGGCTTCCTTGTGGGGAACAGGACACATGGCCAAGCCTACAGGGCAACTGTGAGGACAGGAACGTGCTACCACACCACAGGCACCCAGCCCAGAGCAAGCACATGCTGCTGTGTGGTAGGGTCCAATTATTCATACATGTGTACACACACACACACACACACACACACACACACACAGCATGTGGGGGAAGGAAACAGATTTTGTTCAGAAATCTCACTATGCTGTGTTTAAACATGTGTAAACAGAAATCATTGGGAGCTGTGTGAAGGTCAAAATGTGCTCCCCAAGTGACTTTCTTTTCCTGGTCTGGAAGCTTCAATGCCAAGGATTTTAGTACTCTGGGTAAATTCCAAGATGGATGGAAGGGAGTAGTCAGGCAGGGAGGAGTGGTCAGGGAGGAGTGGTCAGGCAGGGCCGCCAGGAGCAGCAGCCCATGACTGAGTTTGTTCTTTGGCTCTGTCTCTGTCTCCCTCAGCTTGGCCAGAGGGCCCCTCCTCGGGTCAGCTGCAGGGGTACCCCGCTGTGGTGGAGTCTCAGAGACGCCTGAGGGCCAGTTCAAAGGGGTTTCAACCTGAGTTGTGGATGGGCTGCAGGATGCTTCCAACCCTAGCATGGGTGACACAAGGGTGCAGGTGGAGCCAGTTCAGAGAGCGAATCTGAGTCCTACTGAGAAGCCATTATCAAGTGTCGAGCTGCCACCATATACCTGGAGTTATCTTTCTAAATCTCTTCTAAATCTTACACCATATAAGAATTGACCCAGCTGATTTATGGTTTTGAAGCAAAGGCATATGAAGGCAGCTCTAAGGCAGGGTATCCCAGCTATGCCCAAGGGAAGTCCTGATGCTTGACTTTCTGTCTAGTTGGTGGCAAATTAGCCTCTGACAGGCTCCACTGGTGCAGACGAGGGCCAAGAAGGCCCATGGCCCAGGCCCACTTAGAGGTTGCCGCTTCCGAGGATGCTGCCTGCCCCTCTTCTGAGGCCACACAAGTGGCTGGAGAAAGCTGGGGTAGAAACCTAGGGTGACTGGCCCCAGAGCTTGGGCTCCTCTTGCCATGCAGCGCTGCCTGGTCCCTGTGCCAGCCTCCGATGACCTGGGGATGGATGACTGCATCTAAGAGGCAGCTAATGATGTGCAAGCACCTTAGTTTAATACCCTTGAGGAAAACCTTACTCCACACAAGTGAGGAAAACAGGCTCAGAGAAGTGAAGTCCCTCGCCCAAGGTTGCTGAGCAAGTAAGCAATGGAGCTGGGAATGTAACTCAGGTCTTCCCTCACTCCAAGGCCCGCTCTGCTCTGGCCTCCCTGTCTGACATCGAGCGGGTCCCTGAACTGCTTCTCATCATCTGTACCAGGGCTCCGCTCAGACCCGGAGTGAGCACTAATGCCCCGTCTTCCCACAACAGGACACTCGAGGCTGGTCTCAGGCCACAGGCTCTCCCAGGGCCCGGTCAGCCAGCCCTGGCCAGGTCATGGGAGGCAGGAGTAGAGGTGTGTAATGTGGACCCTTGAGGCTGCTGGCATATCCCCTGACACCAGCAATCTGCTGCTTCTGCCTGAGCCAGGGCCTTTCCCTAGGAGCTAGTACGGCTGCTGAAAGGGCTACTTTCACATTCTAAGATCATGGCTATTTTCGGGCCCAAAACATTTCCATGTTGCAGACACTGCTTTTTCTCCAAGATGAGGGAGGTGAGAGTTCTGACAGCACCATGCAGCCAGGCCTGGTCGTAGCACAGTATGGCCAGTGGGGGCTTCTGGCACATTGGGTTGGGACTAAGCAAAGGAAGGCCATGGGATCTACACGGCTCCATATCGTTGATAGGAGCCCATTTGTATGAGTCCCTTTGCAAAATTCCACAACAAATAACCATGCTGGACCCAGGACAGGTCACACTAGCACCGGGCCCCAGCACTCTTACTCCCCCACAGCTTCATGGATATTTGTGCACCAACATGGGACAGCTGGGCAGCAGTCCAAGGTGGTGTCACGGCCTCCTTCTGAGGCCGTCCTGCCTCCCTCCTTCCCTGCTCCCGGGGGTGCCCACACCAGGGGAGGCATACCCAGTTCTGTGAGCTCCTGCTGCCTGAGCTCAGCTCAAGCCTGCAGGGCTGAGGAGAGTGCCAGCGGCAGGCCGGTGGATAACCGCAAGAAGCAGTCCTCTCTTCAGAAAACCGGCATGGTGCTAAAGCCTCACAGGAAGTACCTGGCAGAAACTAATTCCCAGAGCAGGGGTTTATTCCCAAAATAAATTCCCATGAGTAGAAGGCTGGGAACAGAGTGGTTTTCCTGCTTAACTTGAGTTAAATAAGAAGAGGGAAGGGCCTTACTTCGGGAATGTCTGTAGGACTGAAGCGTAGAGGAGCAGGCAGGCCAGTCATTCCCACTTCTGCTCCAACCTCTGGGGGAGGTCAGGGAGGGTCCAACAGCTGGACAGGAGGGAGGTGATGGAGCCGCACAGCACACACTTGGATCCACAGCGTGGATCAACACACACACATACTGCAAACCAAACTGAACCCAGGAGGGGATACTTGCAAGTCTCCTTGTTTCTCAGATCACCACATTTCCCCCCAGCCCCAGGGAAGTCAAGCACTGCCACCTTGTCGCCCTTTGCCAGCTCTTCTCTAAACCTGCTCTTAACCTTGCTCACTCGACGATGTCCATGCTCTCCAGGAACCCATGCACTGGATGGCTAGGGGTGTCCGACTGCCCTGGGGAAGGCAGAACAAGGCCCGTTGCCCCACAGCCCCGATGAGATGAGCGACATGTGAGTGGGAGCCTGGGTGTCTTTCAGCATTGTCACTACCTCCCCAGGGCTCCACTTTAATGGCCCTCTAAGTCCACCAATTTGGCTCATTCCGGCGAATACTCTGTCACTAGCTTTCTCTGTAAATGTGAACATAAAGAAGGCAAGCTACGAGGTCAGCATGCAAGCCTCCTAATATTAGTAAGGAATGTGGTTGAACAGTCGCCACCTGCCCCATCCCACATGGGATGGCCTTGTACATGGTCCCAGCTGACCATATCTGGATTCCCAGGGGTGACAGACTCAGCACGTCATGGCCTTCCCATGACTGCCATAACAATGCAGCTGACTGCACAGGAGCCACTCTAGGCAGCCCGCAGACACAGACAGCTATGGAGTCTCCCCACTGCCCTTTGACGTCCCCATTTTGCAGGTGGGAAAATACAGGCTCAGGGAGACAAGGTGCCTAAGCCTGCCCCACCCCACCCTGGCTCCCAGGTGGGCACGCGGGCAGGTGGCGACCCTGAGCATGTCTTGGAAGCACAGAATCACCGTGAGTCCATGAGGTTAATGAACAGCCGCAACATTGCCCGTGTCACCCCAGACCCAGCACCCCCCCTTCACCAAAACAAAGCGACTCATCGCCCGAAGCTCCCGCCCCCTGATTGGCGTGCCGCCCTGGGCTGGCAGTAGGGAGAACAGGGACTGTACCGTCCGGCGTCGCCTGCTGGTGGGGTTTTTTACATTTGACGTAATCGTGGTCAATCGGAGTGGCTGTGTAAGGTGGGGATGTCAGACCTGGGCCAGAGGAGGAAGGGAGGGAGGCTCCGGGGCCCGGCAGTGTCCCAGCTGAAGAGTGGGAGTCCTCGTCCACCAGGCAGGCCTTCTCCCTATGAGGCAGAGGGTTGGGGTGCAGGTCAAAATCTCCGCCTCACACTGAAATAAGATGTGTGCTGGTCTGGGACGGTGCCCTTCCCAGCTGCCAAATCCCCCCGCTACCTTCAAGGGCTTCCTCCACCCTTCTCAAGGCCGGCTGCTCCCACACACACCCTCCGCCACCCACCCCTGCACCTCTCTGGTTGGTATGCTTGAGGCACTGAAGGAGCTGCCCCCACATCACCCACTCAGGCTCAGACCCCAACTATGGCTGGGCTCTGCAGGTGTCTCAGGTCTCAAGCCCCAGAGACTGCGGGGGAGCTGACAGGCCCTATCTCAGAAGTGCCCACTTCAGCACCCTCCACACCAAGTCACCACCCTTCTGTATGAGGCCTGAGGCTGACAGATTAAATGACTAGTACGCAGACAGGGAAAATAATCTGGATTTACTACGTGCTCACAAGTGCACTGTTGAGCAAGAGTTAGGAACACCTGCAATGTCTGTCAAAATGGCCACAGAAGCCAGGAGCATCCAATGCTATGAAATAAACAGGAGCCACAGACCACTGACAGCCACGAGAAAGAAAGGGGTACCATCTCTGTGGACTGGGTCCCAGAACCATTATTGCGGAAAAATAAAACTCTAAAACAAAACCTTCAGAAGTTCGTTTTTATAAAATAAAAGAAACTCTATAATTGCATGTGTACATGTAAGTGCGTATAAATGAACAAAAAATGATTTGAAAAACTAAACTGAATAGTCTCCAACTCTGGGGAGGTAAGAGGTTTGTCATATTTTAGTCCATATGTTTATAAACTGCCAGAATTTTCTGTAAGTAGAATATATTCATGTTTTACTGGTATAACTTTTAAATTTTTTGAAAAAGAATTAGGATCAATAAAAGCCAACATCACTAAGTCAGGGGCCCTTTGTGACTAAAAAACACATGTATAACTTCTAGGCATACTGTGTCCACCTGTGTGACCTGCCACGTGTGTGCCCATCTCCCCCATAAGCCTGTCCTCGAGGATGCACTCGAGCTCTCTGGCACTACAGAAAGAGTCCATGCCTCCCATGCCCCTCCCTGTTTCTCAGAACGGGCAGCAGACCAGGCCCTCAGAGGGCTCCCACGCTTGGGAGAGGCTCTGGAAGAGGACCCAGGAGCAAGAGTCGGAAATGTGAACGCTGCTCTCCTACAGTGTTCTGCACCGAGCAGCGCTGCACCCCCGTGTGGGAGGGGAAGGAGTCAGCTTCTCTCTAGGACCGTGCCCTGGAGGATGGGGTGGACCAGAAATGGCCACGGGGTGAGGTGACCAAGGACACACTCAGCCTCTCCTTGGTCCCGCCATCAGAAGTCTCCAGATGAGATCCAGAGACTCCATGAGCTCCGGTTTACTCAGCAGCACCCCCTGACATCACCTTGCCATAAATGAACCACTGGGGTTCACAGGGGGTCAGCTGCTGGGTGAGTATGGGCTACTCACTTTTCTGAAGCTTTGGGCGTATTCTTCTCCTCGCCCCTGGCAAAGGGTCCTTCTGCAGCCTCCTTCATGAAGTTGACCAGGACCTCTGCACCCACCCCGGCATCGGGCTTCCCCAGGAGCTTCAGGATGGAAGCGTGGAGCCGAAAGTACACCTAGAGGAACGACACTCGGGTGTGAGCAGCCCTCCCAGTCGCTCAGGTTCATTCCACAGGCCAGTCAGCCACACGGGAAACGGGCCCTTGACCGGGAAGACGTGCCGCCACACACTGCCTCTTCTCATTAGCTTTAAAACCAGCCAACCTGTCAACTCACTCAAAGCAATTCAAATGGACACAAACTATTAGCATTCTTGCTTAAACATTTGCCCAGTAACCCAGGTATACGGTGATAAGGAGAGTAGCAACCCCTCCACTGCTCAGAGCCCCTCCTCCCTCCATGGAGTACAGTGCCCTCTCTGTGCCCCTCTCTTGGCACCCACAGAAAGAGAGCCTCCACACCTGTCTCCTCACTGGACTGTGGAATCCGTGAGGCGAGGAGTGTGGGGGATTTCTGTTGGTGTCCGAGTACCTGGGCAAGTAGGTACCACAGGCCTCGAGAAGCTCCCTCCAGTGGGTGCAGGGTGGCAGGAGGGGCTTGTTCTTTCCTTTACTTCCTTGAAACCATTTACAAACGTGTGAAGTGAGTTGTCCAAGGCCTTACAGCAGGAAAGCCCAGGGCCAGGTTAAACCCAGGTCCATCATGTCTCTGGTCCTTTATTGCCCTCAAGCAAATGCCACGCCACACACAGGCACCTCCACGGGCAACTTGGCCTGACATTCCCACCCAGGGGTGAGTGCAGTGTGGGCTCCCACCTGCGGCACATGCTCCCTCAGATGGCACAGTGGGTGCCACGAGGGCTGAGAACCACTGTGGCTACAGGCCCTGATTAACCAGCCTCCCCCCACCCAGAGGTGGCTCTCAAGAGATGTCGCCAAGGACCCACCCACGTGAGATGCCTGGAGGTCCGGCGTGGGCAGCACTCTCAGGGGGGCATCCTAGACAGAGACCCTCTCCCTCTAGCCCACCCATGAACCACAGAGCAATTGGTCCAGCAACTCCATTTTCAGATGCAGGAAACTTGCAAGGCACCCACGCATGCCCAGGTGGCCACACTTGGGGGAGATCAAAGTGTCCAACTGGCAATGTTTATCCTAGTGGCAAGTAAAGTACAGTAAAACCTTGGATTGCGAGTAACATGGTTTGCGAGTGTTCCGCAAGATGAGCAAACATTTCTAATACATTTTAACGTGGTAAATGAGCAATGTCTTGCAATACGAGTAATTTGTTTCCGGAATGAATTATGCTCGCAAACCAAGGTATTACTATATTTTGAATGAGGGCTCAACAGCAGAAGGGAATTTTCACAAGGGCAGGGTTAAATTCTTAAGAGAAATTCATTTTTAAAGCAAGATATACACATGTTCTAGCTGAGCTCCCACTCTCCTGAGAGCCAGTGTGGTGTGCTGGAGGAGAGAAGTCTACACAGCTGCGGCCTCGGTTCCTCATCTGGGAGTCCCTGAGTCCTATGGGGCCACCATCCTGCCTGTCGTTGGTTCTATCAGGTAGCAGCAGAAGCAAAAATTGAAGAGAAAACCATGGAAGAAAAACAGAGTGGTCATTTTCCTGAGTGCTGGGCCACCTCCCACTGTAGGAAGGTTCAGTGCTGCCCAGAGGTGCCTCGTGAGAGCCCTGGGCTCAGTGGGATCTGGCCCCACTGCCCTTCTTTACTGCTGCTGACTTAGGGCAAGTCACACCAGTACTCTGGGCCTCAGGCTTCTCATCCCCAAAGCGGAAGTCCCTCCAAGGACAGGCACATGAAGCCCAAGTGGAAGGCATGAAAGAACTGTGATGGGGGGGGGATGTGGACCTGGGGCTGTGAATGACAGCAACCAGGAAACTGCTGAAGACATGCTCGATAGGAAGTATTGCTTCCACACTTTATGGTGACCCTCCCCACAAATGTGGCCCCAAAATAGCTGCTATTAACCACTTAGCATGAATCATTTTTTTAAAATGTGACTTTTTTTGTTTGTTCACAAGATTATCAAATATTAAAATGAGGCTCTAGCTAGGTTGAGGGAAAACAGATAATAGATCAGCACAACCTTTTAGGGCAACGAGACATTGTTGATTCGATGTTAAATGACTCTTGGAAATACAGGTAACCCTTGAACAATACAAGTTGAATTGGGCAGGTCCACTTATATGTGGATTTTTTTTTTCAATTGACCCCAGAATTCATTCAATTGACCTGTGCAGTTCAAACCCACGTTGTTCAAGGGCCAACTGGCAGTTGGGAATCTGAGTATTTGGAAGGCCGACTGTAGGTATTCATTAATTTTCGATTGCATGGGTAGTCGGCACCCTGAGTCCCTTCATTCAAGAGCCAACTGTACTCAGTTGAGTGTTCCCTGATACGTGTGAAAGTCCATGCCTTGCCTGTACCCTGCCTGTCACGGAAGAAGTGGAAGAGAAGGTCAAACTCATGAAGAAGGGTCTGGGCAAATTCATGGATGCCCACGACTCCTTCCACTACATCTTGTCCAGTGAAAAAGGCAAGTTGCAAAATGGTAAGAAAATGTTACTGTGCATCTATATGTAAATAGGGCAAAAAATCTAGAAAGATAAGGACATACCCAAACTGTTCATAGGGTATGACTGGGGCGGGGGATTAGGATCGCTGGGACTTTAACTTTTCACTTTAAGTGTTTGTGAACTGTTTGATTCTTATATATTTTTTTAAACCATGCATATATGTTAATTTTATAATCAGAAAAACAATACATAAAGGCAGAAAAGGCATAAGCAAGCAGATTCTGCCCTGAGCTCTATGAAGCCAGGCACATGGGACTGGGGCGCTGGCTAGGCATGTAGCCTCAGAAAGGGTGAAGTATATCTGGATCCACGTCCTTGGTTTCCTCCCTACAGAATGTGCTGGTCCCGGCCACCCAGCCCACCTCACAGGACTGCCACGACCACCAGTTAGCATCGTGTGAAGTGCTCCAGAAATCATAAAGCAAATCCAAGCATAAACAAGTGCTCTGCTCTTGGGGAGCAGTGGAAGACCCCAAATCTGAGGTTGAGAACAGGCTGCTCCCTGGCTCAGTCCTGCCAAGCCAGGTGTTCTGGGCACATGCTCGTTAGGCCTCAGATATTTCATCTGCACCCTGGGAACTAAGGGCACCTGCCCTCCTCCTGCCAGGCTGCAGGGTGTGAATGCTGCACTGCACTGATGTCATCAAGCCAGGGTCTTGGAACCTGTGTGTGCTAATAAGGAAAGACGATTTTCGTCTGGGAGAAAACAAAATGCTCACTCTCCCACAAAGGATGGTAAGCATCCCTTAGAAAGAGTGGAAAGGCTGCGTTAATTTAATTGCACACAAAGCTGCTGAACACCACCGCAGTTTCCATCACTGGGACCGCGTGCCCCATCCCCAGGGAGGCAGAGAGACCGGCCTGCCCCTGCCCTGTTTCCCCATCCCAGGCCGGCACGCTGTCACCTCCAGGGCCTCCATGGCCAGCTCAGGTGGATTGTGGTAGTGGATCTTCTTGGGGTAGCGGGCGGCCTCCTCATGCAGGTAGTGGCCAGCCTGCCTGTAGTGCAGCAGGTAAACGGTGGGCGGCTGTTGCTGCTTCTCAGCCACTTTGCCCAGCATGTAGTGGATGAGCCACTCCTCTTCATCACCGTCGCCCTCACAGCGGGCTGCGGATGTGAAACAGTGCCTGGCTGTCTCCAGCATGCTGTCACGCCGGCCCTCCATCTGTAACGAGACCAGGCCAAGCTTAGGCACACAGCCCAAACCTGCACAGTATCGTGCCTTATCCTGTAGGAAGCCCTGCTGCCTTGTTTGCAAATTAATGATCCTTTCAACAACCCTGAGACACAGCTGGGGACAATGAGTGTGGAGAGGCCTGGGGACTCCTCAGTAGCCCACATCAAGTAAGGCACACAGAACTGGACTGAAACCCCGGTTACCACATGTCAACTCCATGTTCTTTCTTCTACCTTCCCCTCCTGTTTCTAACAGTTTATGAGTTTATGAAGTACCTACTGACACCCTTTTAAAGGTCCCAACTATGACCTAAGTGGCTGCAGTGAGGCCTTGTGCCTGGGAGGGGAGGACAGCATGGGGCTAAGGCTGCAAGGGCTGCCAGCCATCACTGCCAGGAGTACCAAGCCAACAGCAGCTCTGCCACGTCCGTCTGAGAAGGCTAGGCAGCTAGAGGTGACATTCTGAGAGAAGCCTCCACTGCAGGCAGTGGGCACCTTATTCTCTCACCCTCTCACTAGGGTGGGCGAGCAGAGCTGGAGAGGATGTGCACCCAGCACCCAGCTTCACAGCACTGGAGAGGATGTACGCCCCTGGGATACCACAGGACTTCCCCCCCCCCTGCTCTCTCCGTACCCTTCTAGAGGGACGTAGGGTGTTTATAAAAAAGCGGGTTCCTAAGCCCCATCCAAGCCCCGCTGACCTGGAGCCTGGGCGTCTGTAGCAGTGCCTCCAGTCACCTTCTCACACACTACAGGTGGGAACAGCTAGGACAGAGAGTCAGCTTCTAAGAGGCTTTCCAACTCAGAAACTTTTGCACTCCCCGTATAAGGGGCCAGCAGCACCCCAGGTGCTATCTATGCAGGATGTCAGCATCAGTTACACCCACGTCCCTCCACCCCAGAGCTCCTCGGCTGGAAGCTGGAGTAAAGACTGCCTGTGTGGGGCACAGAAGCGGCTGTTCTGTGCACCCCAGGTCTCTGGCCCCTCCTTTCCATGGCCGTGGCCCGATGGCAGGGAGGCTGCGGCCTCTTCTCATCTCATCTCATCTCATCTCAGGGTCCAGAGGAGGGGAGAGGCTGAGGGCATTGCTCACAGCCTAGGAGAGCAGTACCTAGGCTCCACTGCACACGGGGAGGCTGCCCTGTAGACATCTGCCCAACGGATGCTTATTTCTGTGCATTTCCTATAGCAATGACCCTGGAGCTGACACAAAGGAGCCTAGGTGCTACACCAGTGCTCTGCCAGACACTTCTGGGGAAAGAAAATTACCAGCTAGAAATCAAGAAACCATCACTGGGTGAAATCTGGTAGAAAGAGTCACAGTACAGGGTCAAAACATGGCAGAAACCAAGCGACTCTATCATATCCCCTCCCCAATGGGATTCTGAGGCAAATCTGTTAAAGTAAAAGGCAGTTATTTACAAAGTCCTTCTACTCTGATTGCTCTGTAGCCCTGTGGTTTTGACCACGTCACTAGCCCTCTGACCACCCAGCTCTGCCATTGAGGCTCATACTGAGAAAGGAAGGGGGACCGTGGAAAGCCCCCCATCTGGACTGTCACCTGGCACCACACAGATCCCCACCAAGAAGCCGCGGCCCCTCTCCGCCCTACATAAAGCACACACTGTCAGTGTCCCTGTCCTTAGTAGGTTCAGCAGCCAGAATGCCTCAGACAGGAACAGGAGGGACAGAGACTGAGGGTCTGCTCTGTTTCAGAAGCTCTGTTAGATACCCTCACCATCCTCAGAGCTGGATATGCACCCTCTGCATGGCACCTCATTCACCTCGTGGCTCGGGTGCCTGGCCCAGGGCTGGCCCGTAAGAGGGGCTCAGGAGATGTCGGCTCTGACAATACTGCCATGGAGAATGAGTGGTCACCCTATATACAGCCAAAACCACAGCAAGAATGTCAAATACCTCTCTCAGGCCATACAGTTGGCCCTGAATTCATCCACATCGGACTGGGTGTCCAAAGACCAGGGACCAAGCTGTCACTAACCACAGTATGATTCATGGGGAGAATCATCCATGAACTCCCAGCATGGCTGTGAGGACAAGAGCAAAGACCAGGTAGGACAGAACTTTGCCGACCAGAGGGCACTCCAGTCAGACAGCTGCATGGCAGCCCCTCCACAGTACCCCGCCTTACCTGCTGCACAAGCTCGGAGGGCAGCTCGCCTCTCCACTGTTTCAGCTGGCGAGAGGCGAAGGAGTGCAAGGCATAGGACATGGTGCCGTATTCAATCCACAGGGACAGGTTAGAGCTGTCGATCTCCAGGGCCCGCCGGAAGCAATTCAGGACAGGCGTGGCATGCTTCCAGATGGGCCCATCGCTCTTCAGCTCATTGGAGTTCAGCTTGTCCTGAATGCGACTGGCCCGGGCCAGGGCCATGCCTGCCCAGGAATCGAATCTGGGGTCACAATAAAAGCACCAGTAAACACATCACTGCCCTTACAGCACTGCTGACATGACAGCCCGGAGGGCAAGGCACTGTGGGAGCCCAGATCCCAGACCAGGGCCCAGAGCCCAGCTCTGGGGATTAAGAGAGGAAACTCCCTAGTGTGCCAAGAGCTGGCCCCGGTAGACGCTCCCTAACACGGTGCCCACCATCTGAAGGGGAGTTTGACGCCTACCCCACACCCCCTGCTCCCCGCCCCAAGGTGACCTGGGGGGCCTTCGGCAACCCCCTTTGCCCTTGCTTTAAGGGAAGAGACCACATGGGTGCTTGCCCCTGTGCCCGCAGGAGTACCACAATGGAAACCGCTACCTCCTGTCACAAATACAAGCAACCAAGAACAGACACATCACCACAAAAACTTAAAAGAGCTCCTCTGTGCGCTACCAAGAGCCTTGTTCCTGATTCTAGCAGAGCAGTGCACAGCCCGCACTTGAAGAGTGCTGACCTAAAGGGACACTGGGGCCCTGAGGAACAGTGACATTGTGAACTCAGAATGGGGAAGCATCCAGAGTCTGTGCGCTGGGCTCTTACTCATGCAGGGCAGGCCTGGTCCTGGCACTGGACTCAGAGTTGTTTCTTTGGCAGTGGGGATGAGCTGTACTGGGGCCTATCCCAGCCTCCCCGTCCCCAAATGCCACTACACAATGCCTGGCCATCTCAGCAAGAACAGAAGGAATGGTGAACACGGGTAGAGAAGAAAAAGGTCACTAGCATCCTCACAGACGCTGTGTTTCCACAGGAACCACAAACAAACACCGGCTAAAACACTCCACTGTCCACCCAGACATCTGCTGTGGGCTTCACCTGTACCCAGTGGGCTCAGAAGGTTTAAAGAAAAAAAACAACAATATCCAAACTTCCATTTTGGCTAGCACAGAAGATGAGATTGAGCCCATCTCCCCTGGGGTCTGCCTGCTAGGGCCATAATGGAGGAGGCCCAGGCCAAGCCACCAAGTCCCTCCTGGCCCTGGGGCAGGTCCTCACAGGAGACCCCACCTCTCCAGGATGGCTCTCGGTGGGCTGGGCCTGACGAGTTGATACTCTCTGAACAGCTGGGTGTGCAGGTTGGAGCAAGGCCCAGCTGAGCCATTCTGACCCTCTCGTCATTGACTGAGGGGCTGTCAGGTGAGAGATGGCACGCCAGGTTCCCACCTCCTCATGGACAAGTAGGTGTGATCGCCCTCATTTTTCAGGTGTGGAGGCAGCAATGTCTCCTCACTGCCTTGCACAGTGAGCAAGCAGGCAGCATGTGTGGGTCTGCTCCACCACACTGGTCCACAGCAACCCCGGAGAGGACAGCAGGGCTACCAGCACATGGCTCCCTGCCTGGAGAAAACCATAGGCTGAGTAAGAGAGGTCTGGGAGAACCTTACCCACAAGCTATTGAAGTTGTGCAAATTGACTTTTCCATTCAGACCCCAGCCCCTTCTCCCCATGGCCAGGTGGATCACGACAAGGTGGAACTCTCCAGTTCCCCTGAGGGAGGTGGCTTACCCATGGTTCAACGGCAGCCACCATAGCACCATAGGCTGGCCCCCAACTACTTCCGGGAAGGCTGCCTACAGATGCTACTCTGGACCCTTCAGACACAGGTCAGCCACAGAGGGTGGCCTTGTTTTGACCTTGACCGAAGGTTTACCTCTTACGTGTGGCAGCCATGAGAGAATATTCCACTCAATCAAGCGAATCAAACTTTATGAGCTTAGCAGGGGCCTCAGGACAAGCAGGTCAATCATACATTTTAAGAAAAAGCCACCAGAGTTCAGTGGGAAGAATGCACAAGCTTCCTGTGCAATGGACTCTCCTACATTTACTGTCATGACAATTGATACTGCCAACAACGCACTGCATCAAAGCAAGGAAAGAGAACTCTTGCTTGAGTGTTTCTATTACTCCCACCCACTCCACCCTCAAAATGAGAAAAACAACTGTAATTTTAAGGACACTGCAGTAGGAGAAGCAGGAGTATTCATCACCCAACTTCTCAGGGCAGGAGCTGGAAAGGAGGCAGCACACAGCCCACAGGATGGAGCCAGGCTGCACATCCTTACCCTGCAGGTCAGGACCCAGATGGACACCTCATACCTTCTTTGATCCCAATGCCCATCCCAGGAGTCTTTTGGAAAGAGGTCTTCTCCATTGTTCTTCTTTTTATGGAGAACCTGCCTTTACTAATAACTGTAGAGTCTAAGCCACCTTGTCATTCCTTCTTCCCTGGCTTCCTTGCCATGAGCAGGGAAGAGCTTGCTGAGCTGCAGTCACCTGGCGGCACCACCGACGTGGCCCCAAACCAAGGTCACTGTCCCCAGCCACCAGTCACTCACCTGTCAGGGCAGATGCAGATGTCATGCATGTAGAACTTGATGGCCTTGGACTGTTCCTTGTTTTTGAAATGGTAATCAGCCAGAAGGTAGTAGAGCTCATTCACCACTGGAGGGGAGGGGTCAGCCCCTTCTGGGAGGCAGGGCACCTGACAGGCGAGAGGGCAAGGGTAAGGGGAGGCAGAGCCAGGGACTCACACATGAGCAGGAATGCTGCGAATCCAGGACCATTCACATCAGCACAGGACAGGCCCTGAGGACCCTGACTTCTGGTGCAGAGCCACAGCATAGAAGCAGCAGTGCTGGATGAGAAGGTGATGGGACACAGCCCCTACCTCAGCCAAGGTCCCCTCTATGTAGGCGGAGACTTTGTCCAGGCTCAGGGCCGGCCTCTCTGTTCGAGGCACGATGGTGGCAATTTTCTTCAGGAGGTTGGCCAAGTCAGCAGAAACGGTGCTAGTCTTATAGCTGTCAAATTCAGGAAGGGTCTTGGGCTTAAAGTACTCAAACATAAACAGGGCATCTTCCCATATAAGGTCCACCTTGAAAAAAGACAGAAGGCAGATTATGGCATGATCGAGGCAAAGCACAAAGAGGAAGTTCTTCCACAGAAACGAAATGTCCATGCAGACAAAGTTATAATATATTAGCCTAAAACAAGCCCGTATACTTTGAAAAATCTGCACGCCCAATTTAACCCCAAACCCAAGTGTCTGAAGAAAAATGAACCAGCATCAAGAAAACTGCTGGAAGCCAACGGCAGCACTTTGTGAGTCCATGTGGCCAAGCCAGAGGGTAGGGACTGTGGGCAGGCCACTGGTCCTCTCCTTGCCTCAGCCGCCCCATCAACAAATACCGACTAAGTGGCTGCTGTGGGCTGAGGTGGATCTGAACTCTGTGTGGGGGCTATAGCAGGGGCCCTGCCCAAAGAAGCTTACATTCATGGGCTGGAATTCATAAGATCAGAGAATAACTGACAGTATTGATGAGCCATGAGATAATACTCCCAATGGTGCTCTGAAAACCAAAACAACAAAAAATGAAAACCCTCTAAGGAATTATTTGTATTATCTAAATTGTTAAAAGAAAATCGATTGAAATTTGCCATGCTGCATTCTCGAACAATTAGTCAACACTTGTGAAGCTACTCTGTGTAATGATCAGATAACATCGGGCCATCCTCTCGTCCTTCTGATGCAGCTCCACCCTGGGACTACAGAGCTGCATGCTGGCAAATGACATCCTCTGGGAGCACGCAGAGCCCCTGCTTCCCCGAGCCCCGCTCTTCCCAGCATGGGCAGGTGCAGTGGGCCTGGTACAGGGCCTCACCTGCTGGACCGAGTGCTCTTCCAGGTATCTGGCCTTACTCTTCTTGCTGGGGAAGCTGTACAGGCAGTAGAAGCACTGCTCCAAAGCTGTCTCCAGCTCCTCCTTATAGGGGTGTGTGTCTTCAGAGGTGGACGCAGCAAGCTCCTTCTGGAGAACCCGTACCTAGTGGGAAGGCGGGAAAAGACACCTGAGAAGAGGGCCCCCAACTTCCCTGGCACAACAAGGCCCCAGGGAGCCCACCACTCTGTTAATCCTATTAACCAGAGGAGGCCACGTCTGTTAGGCCTGTCACCCCCGTGGGAACCATTCTGGGCCCAGCTCTGGCAGTGGCCTACTAAGGGGCTTGCTAAGCTGCCATTTTTCTAGCACAGCCTGTCAGCTTCTACCAGCTGCTAGAAGGAGATATTATATGCCCTCTGGGAATGTCTTATTAATTTATTTAGCCATTCACTATATTTACTGAGCACCTTCCTATGCTAGGCACAGTGTGACACAATCCCTGCTTTTTTTTTTTTTTTAAGTTTTAATTGGGGAATTGGGGGAGGGAACAGCGTTGGAGAATTGGGGAAGGGGAACAGACAAGTTGCTGTCCATTGGACGGCCGCTCATGGTGGCTCACAGCAGCTCACACCGGCTGCCAGCTGCTCACGGTAGCTTATGGCAGCCCACTGCAGCTTATGCCGTTGCTGGCCACTCACAGCAGCCCAGCTCCAGGTGGAGCTGTTGTTCGACCTGTAACAGGCACAGCATCACTTGTCCATGTGGGATCCGAACCAGTGGCCCTGCTGCTCAGAGCTCACGCTCCCAAGCCAACTCTTAACCAACGAGCCACTCGGCCAGCCCCACACATTCCCTGCTTTTAAGAAGCTCAGGTTCCAATGGAGGAGCAGTTAATTAAATAAATAATTATAAATTACAATGTAAGATGATAAATCCCATTAGGGCTGAGGAAATCTCTCTCAAGAAACATCAGTGACGATTACAAAGGATGGGAACAACACAGTTAACAAGTCACATCTATGGATATCAGATCTAATGGCTATTGCTATGTTCAACTATTAGCAAATACACATTTTTTTTCAAGAATCCATGGGATTTTTACCAAAACTAGACAAAAAGCAAGTCTCAACAAATACCAAAGACAACATATAATACAGACCACATCCTCTGAATGTCATTAGATAAAATTAGAAGTCAATTACATAAAGATAGCAAATACCAAATGTCAAAATTATGGTATATAGCTAAAAATGTACTTGGGGAAAAATCATAACCTTCAATGCATGTATGTATTAGATGAGTGAACACTGAAATAAGATTTACCTCAATAAGTTAGAAAAAACACAAAATAAGTCCAAAAAAAAAACATAAAAAGAAATCATAAATACTAAAGTGGCAATTAATGAACTAGAAAGCAAAGAAAAAAAAACAGATCAATAAACCAATAGCTGGTAGTTTGAAAAATCTAATTTACATAACCCTCAGAAAAGATTTTTTAAAAAGGGGAAAAAACACAAATAAATGGTTTTAGCAGTGAATAAGGGGGCATAACTAGAGGTACCACAGAGGCATTTTAAATCATAAGCAAATGCCACGAACAACTTTATGCTTATGCGGACACTATTCCAAAATATAATTGACTTAAGAGAAAATCTAAATGGACCTACCATCACTAAAGAAAGAGACAATATTTTAAAATCTATGAGAGAGAGAGAGAGAGAGGCAGAGAGAGAGAGAGAGAGAGAGAGAGAGAGACAGAGAGAGAGAGAGACAGAGAACTCTAGATAAGGAGTGACAAACTATGGCCCATGGGACAAATCTTGCCATTGCCTGTTTCTTGCCCAGGAGCTAAGAATAGCATTTACATTTTTAAATGATTTTTTTTTAATCAAAAAAAGAATACTATTTTGTAACAACTGAAATATGAAATTCAAATTTTAACATCCACAAGTTTTTACATATTGTCATTACATAATGTCTATGGCTGGGAGCACTGAGTAGTTGTGACAGAAACCCTATGGGCCTGCAAAGCCTAAAAGACTATTTGTTCCTTTACAGAAAAAGTTTTGCTGACCCCTGGCCAAGAGAATAAGACAAGTGCCGGCCGAGTGGCACGTTGGTTAAGAG